TAAGGAAAGTAAATAATTATGTCTGTCTGTATTGTAGGTGCATGAAGCAGGTCCCACCAACATGACTTAATTAAAAATTGGATAAATATTACGAAATAAATTAAAAATTAAAAAAAGGAACAAAAAAAAAGCTACGAAAAATATCAGATAAGGTAGTTGTTATCAGACACCGTTACAACACAAGCAATGAAACAACAACCAAAACACCCAAAACTGCGGCAATCAGTTCCAGCAAGAGTCAGCAAAATAAAGTTTACAGTAAAATGGGACACATGTTGCTCACACATACGTACAAGTTTCGTCAGCTTGAGAGCAATTTTCACACACTCAAAGCCAACTTTTGCGCGAATAACTGTCTTTTGGCTTTGTTGAAGGCGTTAACTGACTTCACGTGCAAATTATGACGCGGGGGCGCAAAATTATTAAAACGAATATTTGGCATAATTTTCGATTTATGTGAAGGTCACCAAACGTTGGCTTTTATTTACCGTTTAAGGCTTACAAAAATGTTAAGTACATGCAGACGCACTTTACGAGCGCTGCACCATCAAAAAACAATAAAAAAGAAGGTGATACAAAAGTTAAGGAAGTGACAAATTCGGGTATTGCCGCATTTAAAATAATAATATAAAATATGTAATTAAAGGCATTTTAAATAGTATTTGTTCTTTCAAATAACTATATTCATCCAATTGGTGCTCAGAGAAAAGTATTAATCCATATCATTCTTTTTCAGTTTACTTCGTTCATATCTCTCACACTAATCTAGGTAGAGGGTATAAAATCTGAAGGTCGAAAATTACTATATTTGGTATATTTGTGGGATAAGTCGGCAAACCGAACTGTGGCGACTCTTTTTCTGCCCATATAAAAAAAAGGAAAGAGCCGTTTGAGGAAAGGCACAGTGAACTTATTTACGGATGAATCAAAGCTTGGGGAGAATATTGGTGGCGTGTTTTACTGTCAGGAGCTCTCTTTCAACTCCAGCTTAAGACTTCCTGACAATTGCACTGTTTTCTTAGCTGGTAGCAGTAAATTTACTGCTCCGGAATGCAGCCTCTTTCAGGGAAGAGACCATCCACTCAGATAGCACGACGGCGATACTAACCTTGAACTTATTAACTGTGCGTTCAGTGTTGGTCACTGACTGAGTGACTAACCTTGTTATCAATAGCATCGAGTCTCTTTGGGATAATACTGGTATGGGTGAAAGGTTACAGCGTAAACTCAGACAATTGTAAACTGATGAACTAGCAAATAAGGCACCCTAGAATCTCAAAAGATCTGGTGATCTATTTGCCCTCAGCAAGGATAGCCTCGCGTTAATTGTGGGGGTTTTAAGAGGCCATTAACCTATTGGTGTCTATGCAGTAAGGTGGAAATCTTACCAGATGACATCTGCAGAAGCTGTATGGAAGAAGACACTTCCTTCTTGACTATCTCGCGTTTGGAATGTCCAGACTTAAATACTTGAGACCTTCAGACATCCCACCGAACTGGCGGAAATGGAAATGAAATGCCTGTGGCTTCACAAAGTACTACATATGGCAATCCACGTGCGATCTATCTAGATTAGGCATCTAATCTAACCTAGGATATCTCACACATTGATCAATATATGCGATATATGGTAAAGACAACCCGTAGGTCTATAATCAGTATATTAGGTATACGGAAGATCTACTTTGATTTTAGCAACTCATTTTGGTCGAGAAAAAGTAGGCATTAAACTTCATCAAACCTTATGTATTCACCTGAATATGGACCAAGTTGCATCGAATTATCCAAGTTAGAAAGTCAAAAGACATACAAAAATAAAATACAAATTCTTTTAATATATTTGAGCATTTTTTCAAAAAAATGTATTACTTTTCTGTAATTGTTGGTGTTGTTTATTTTGTGTGTTTTATATTCAATCTCACCTACTGACACATCTTCTAAGGTTTGTGTAGCACAAATAGCGTACCGTAGAGGCGTTGAAACACACTTAAATCAAGGATGACCAGTTTCAGTTGCTTTTAAATAAACGTGCGCATGCGTGCGCGCATATACATATGTGGGATTATGTTTCTATAATTTGCATTTAAGAAGAAGAAAATTTGCTTACTTGTTTATTACTGACATCGGAGGCCACATTTGAATATACTTAACCCCAACAACTGATATTTAGACAACACATTTTTCATACCATATACGATTTCTGTATGGCTTTATATAAAAAATAAAATGTTTGCAAGATGCTATTGATAATGGTTACAGTGGTATAATAAGCGCGCGTATAGGTTTATACGAGTACATCCACTATTAGACTGTCAGAACCGCGGCTTTCGTTCGTTGCACTAATTGAAACAAATACGATCTTCTTCATCACCTCACGGGTCGGCATAACCGGAGCGGACCCGAATTTTTATTCAGGCCTTTTAACACGTCCCTTGACTTATTTGGAGACAACAACAGCTGAAATAAATATGGCGTGATAGAAAATGTCGAAGAAATTATCCTTTCGGACTACTACAGGAAAGTAATAGAACTGACTTTCTTCTGCCGCGACTGTACTTCGGAGCGCGCGCGTTTCTGTGAATGGTGCAAGCTGGAAATTTAGCGTTCGTTAGAGCAGAGGTACGCGATTAAATTCTGTTTGAAACGTTTGATATGATTAAGAAGTGGTGTGTTTCGGTGGTACCAGGCCTTTTGGGGGGCTGAGAAGAGGTCGCTGATGAAGACCGTGCTGGGAGACCTGCGACTTCGACAAACACCGACAATGTGACTTTTGAACCCAGACTGTCGACTAAGTATTTTTTTAATTGCTCAGATTTTAAATTTATCAAAATCTGTGGTTCATGACATTGTGACGGAGACCTTGAACATGCACAAGGTGTGCGCGAAGATGGTCTCAAAAGTGCTCACCCCCGCAGCCGCCTTACAGCCGTGGTCACCACGGATTTTTCCTTGCTTGAAAAGGCCGATGAAAGGCAAGAATTTTAAGACGACAGAGGGGATTCAAGCATGTAAGGAAAACCTGTTTATTTGACAATATATCATAGGGAAATTTGGTATGGATTATTTTTCTAAGCAACGGTATAATCTCCGAAGAAATTGTTCCGATTGGATGACTTTAGCATATAGGAACTGTCATATACACTGCTCTATCGAAATCAAGAACTTTTTACTCTTTTATGCTAAAAAAAAATGCAACTGTGAATTGTGTTATAACGTAGGCGAAACTGTAGTTAAAATTTTCTATACATTTTTTTTTTTAATAAATAATTTGCATCGAGTTCAACGAATTTCTTTGTATCTATTCCCAATTTCAATTATGAAGTAGTTTGTCATTTAAAGTATGAATGAACTAAATGACACCGAGGTCAATGTGCCAACGTAGACGCAATTACAAATCAACAAAAATGTGTGTACATACATACATATGTACATATATACGCGCTTAATTAGGAAATACAGCAAAGAGTAAGAGTGCGCTGAAAATAACAATGAAATTTCACTTTTCCATTTATCATTTAATAAGTATTGTTGTTGTATGCAAAAAATCGCTAAAAGTAAGTTAGCGCTCTATAATTGCCACACCTTTTTTGTGACAAAAGCACCAAGTCAATGTACGACAGGTGGACTGACTAAGTGCTTCACATTTTTCACTTCAAAAATTTTCCATATGCAAACGGAATAGACATTTATTTATTGAAGGCAAAGCAATAGTGAAATCCTAACACAAAATAACCAATCCTTTAGGTTTTCATTATTAACTTTCAATACACGCAAATGCAAAGTGCATACACGCTATTTATAGGAGTGTATAACGGTCTTTGTGATGTATAAATATCTACATACATACATACATACACATTTACATACATATGTATGTATATATAATGATTAAATGCGGGCGTTGATATAACCCATTTAGTCAGAGAAGAAGGAGCAAGTGGCAGCAAAGTGTCAGCGGTATCTGAAGCAGAAGCGAGTAATAAAAAAAAATATATATATATGAAAACTCAAAAAGGATGAAAAATGACGATGGTGCTATTACCAGAAAGCAATATGGACAGCTGATAAATTGCATTCGAGTTTTATAAGCAAAGGATGTTTTTTTATGGGGAACTAAAAGTAAATAAAATGAATTAACATCTACCACGAGTTCAGGACAGAAATTAGATTACTCCTGTCGCTGGTTGATGCAGTGGCAGGAGCCGAAGTAGTAAAGGGAATGGAAAAATTAATCGAAAAAATATAACCGCAGAAGCAAATGCCGCTCTGCTGTCGCAGAAACAAAGTTGTGTTCACCGAAACATATTTCAGATTCTTAAATGCCAACAACCCGCAGCAAAAATTCGCAAAACCGTAAAACCGGTGAGAGTAAAACGAGAAGATAAAATTGTTTTCAAACTAAAGCACTGGAACGTAAGTGCCACTGGTGTGGTCGCAGGAGCATAGTATGATGACTATAAAAATAACTAAAAGCTCAAGTTAAAGTGTCAACTCTTCACCGGCATTTTTCTCTGTAACGAACGACCGCAACGACATATTTTAATACTTTGAATAATACCTTGAAAACGCATACGCATATACATATGTACAACAAAAACACAACAACAAAAAAATTAATCAACAACTTATTTTAATTGAATGAATAATTGAAAAATTTAAGGCAGCAGCAAATTAATAACAAACTCTTTGGCAGAACATGGCATAGCATGTATACATAGACATATGTATGTACATATGTATGTCCGAATAATTTGCAGAAAGTAGCAAGTTTTATAAGCAATTTTATGGCCACAACTTCGAGAGTTAATAAATAATATAACATAATATACATACATACATACATATATAGCCCATATGTATAATATAAATGTGTTCTTTTTACAAATAAGTTTTAGATTTACACACCCACATTTTGAAAAGCACACGAATGTACTTGTATCATAATATCATAGTAACGAAAATATCTGCGAAGTGTAAATTTAAGATGTTTCTCAACTCACCTTTTCTAAAGCTGCCGTACACGTCGGTCGTTTATAACAGGTGCTGCAGAAACTTATTCACTGATTTACCAACAACACCACTGCCTACCTGTTATAAGTATGTAATAAGTAATTTTTCTCCAACAAGATATTTCACAGATAAACTAGCAACTTTAGCTTTTTTCGACAATGCTGATGCTGCTTCTTGATTGGTTTGTATTACCCTTCCCTTTTTTCATGGATTTTTTTGTTTGTTTTTCTCTATTCACTTGCACCGCTCCCAATTGATGAGAATTACATACATATAGCAAGCAATATGCAAAATATAAACATTTTTTATATAAAAATTACTTTGGAATGCTTATAATTTGATTGGGAAACCAATTTTTTCCTGCTACACAAACAACACTTCAGCACAATTCGTTGATGCACCGTAAACTTCAATCAATTTGCTGTATGTATTTTCTGCGTACACTTGCACTCGCGCACTACACACATTCGCTCAATTTCGCCAATTTTCTTAATGTGTTACACTTTGAAAATTCTTAAACACATACTTTTTATTTTTAGTAAATAACTGTAAGAATTAAATAGTAACAAAATCTTCACAAACTCCGATACGCGTTTCTTTACAAGCGAGACGGTCTGGTCTGCTCGTTTTCACCGATTTGTTGTTTTTGACTTTTTTAAACAACAAAATTTTTCTTTTCCCTACATTCATTTTCTGATCAGAGATTTCATTTTGACGTTTTATTTTTCTAATTGGATTCGTTCCATTTTCATTTCGTTCCACACAAAATGGCATCATGCGGCACAAAAGCAATGAGAGTGTTACCCATCATCGTTCATTAGAATTGTTAAAAATATTATAAATACTTTGTATTTAATTAAAAATACAGTTTAAAACTGCTTTTTTATTGCAACTGTTCTTAAACTATTTTTATAGCAATATTCACTCAGTTTCATTAATTGCGTACTTAGGAATGAGTTGAAAAGTTGTATTTGGTTTAAATAAATTTTCATTGTAATTTTGCATTAACCTATTTTTTCAGAACTTTTAAACGCTTTGTGAGTTGCAAGTTGATTTTATATTAAAATTTTATTTAAATTATCAAATATATTTGACATTTACAAGTTAAGTAAACGCAACAGCTGTTTTTCACAATAACAAAACAACAGCGTAGCGTCGATGAAATCAGCAAACCACTGTGTAGCCAACACTTTCAATTTTGGGCCGCAAGCCCTAATTTGTTCCCCCTTTTATATGATATTATAGTTATATATTTGAATGTTTTAGTTCAGATTTAATTTATGTTAAACATATTTATCGGGCATATGTTTTTGGAAAAATCGTTTAGGTATGTATTATAAGTTTTAAGGATCAACTACAGAAATCCCTTCTGGGAAGTTTTTTTCGGCAATAATTATAGTGTGAAAGTACAGCACTGCCAAGGAGGAGTTTTCAGTTTTTTGCAAAGGTATCTTTTTATTATTTTGTCCACCCAACGGTAAATAGAATATGTCGAAAAATAAGTTAAATTTAACGCTGCCTCCTGGAGCTGTAGATGCAACAGTAGCCGCGTCACAGGTTGTACCAACACCACCATTCAAGACACCATCAGGAACAGAGTAAATATCTCAATAAATATTTCTATTGATTTCTTTCATTTTCTGCACTAGCACTTTGTTGATTCCTTCTAATTTGAGCTTTAACTCCTTTGCTGCTTTAATAAATCTCTACGCTGACAAGCGATTTTCTACCATGTTGGCTTTGCTAAAGTTATCTTTGTATCTGTTAAATATGCTCTGCATTTCGTTATATGGCGTATTTCAATGAATCGGCCAATTTGGGCAGCTGAGCATTGTATTTATCTTCTATGCTTTTCTATCGAACATCTTGTTCCCTTAATTTTTTTTTGCTTTTCGTTTTGTTGCACAAAAATTCATTAAAAAGTTAAATTAAAGAAAACATAGTTTACTGGGGAAGCCGAAAACGAGCATCGAGGCGCTCACGGAGACACTGGAAGAGTTGGAAATGGATGATTCCGCACGAAATCGCATTAAGGTGTTTCTTAGTCAAAAAGAGAAAATCGGTGAACTTTCCGATGATGATCTCGAAAAGTTGGGTGAACTTGGCTCCGGTAATGGTGGTGTAGTTATGAAAGTGCGTCATATACCCACCGAGTTGATAATGGCACGTAAACTAATACACCTTGAGGTGAAACCGGCAATTAAAAAACAAATAATACGCGAACTGAAAGTGTTACATGAGTGTAACTTCCCGCATATTGTTGGCTTCTATGGCGCCTTTTACAGCGACGGTGAAATAAGTATTTGTATGGAGTATATGGATGGTGGTTCTTTGGATCTTATATTAAAACGTGCCGGTCGCATACCGGAATCAATACTGGGCAAAATAACAGTAGCCGTGCTGAAGGGTCTTAGCTACTTGCGTGATAAGCATGCTATAATGCATCGTGATGTGAAGCCGAGTAATATATTGGTGAACAGCAGTGGCGAGATAAAGATTTGTGATTTTGGCGTGTCCGGACAGCTAATTGATTCCATGGCCAATTCCTTTGTAGGCACGCGCAGCTATATGTCGGTGAGTAGCGCTGTGTTTCTATATAATTAGTAGGTATTAACGTTTTGGTTTTCCCACACAGCCGGAGCGTTTGCAGGGTACACATTACTCGGTACAATCGGATATTTGGTCACTCGGTTTGTCACTAGTTGAGATGGCAATTGGCATGTATCCGATACCGCCACCCGACGCCAGTACACTGGAAGCGATCTTCAATGACGATCCGGAGGATGGACAACAAACCGTTTTGGAACCTAAAGTGATGGCGATTTTTGAGCTTCTCGATTATATTGTCAATGAACCACCGCCTAGGTTGGAGCACAAAATATTTACCGACGACTTTAAAAACTTCGTGGACATATGTCTGAAGAAAAATCCCGATGAACGTGCTGATCTTAAAACACTGCTGGTAAACAGATAAATAATATTGCTTCGAAAAATTTGTATAAATATTAAAACTGCATTTTTTTACTAGGATCACGCGTGGATACGAAAGGCTGAGGTTGAGGAGGTGGATATTGCCGGTTGGGTGTGCAAAACAATGGATCTGCCACCATCGACACCGAAACGCAACACATCGCCCAATCAATAATAAAAAAAAATACTAATTTTTGATAATTATAATTAATGTGCATTTGCTTTAATTTTTATTTATATATCCCCCCTAATAAATATACTCAATAACGAATCATCTTTGCGAAAGCTATATACATTAATTTTTTTTTATATCAAGCTGTGTTGTTATTGTTGTTGTAGCGGCAGAATTCTGGCGAGGTGCCAGTCCTTGGCCCGATAAAAATCCGGGACCATTCCGGTTACGTAGACTCGACTGTCGCGAGAACGGAGCTGTCGAATTCGTCGGTATTGCTAATTTTATTAGCCTACTGGAATTATTATCGGAGCACCATAGCATATAGCAACCATATAACCAGTATAATCAAAATCAAGTCCTCTAGGGAAACTTTTTTTTTATAGCGGCGATGCAACTGAACTTTATGTTTTTTCTTGTTTGGTTTTTAGTTATTTGCACGTGTTAACGGAAATACAACGCATTGTTTTTTATACATGCAAAATATGTATATTTTATTACAGAAATAAATACTCATATCCGTAAATTCAAAAAAAAAAAAACAGTTTCGAGCACACATAATTCCTATTTATATATAATGTACATATGTATGTATGTATGTATATGCGTATGCAAAGTAAGAATCCATTACAATAGTAAAATTTGATTTTTTGCTTCTTAAATCTAAATACTCGTTTGGTAAAAAAATATGATAAAAAATGTATTGTTGTATTAATGTATGTATGTATTAGTTGCTTAAAGGTTGTAATAATCGACAAATTCAACGGTGCGTCTGTAACACATCGGATTCAATCTGACCGGTTTCCATTTCTTCTACAAATTCCAAAGACCAAAAAAGGTATCAGAAAACGTAACAATGTGAGAAAACATAAAGAAAAGATAAAGAAAGAAAAAACGATCAGTGTTTTTAGTTAAAGGAAACAACGAACTTAACTCAAGTATTTATATAAAGTGTATATATATATATGTGGAATGCATAAATGCGTACGGAATGTTTTGAGCGCAAGAGCAGTAACGAAATATGCAAGCTAGACGGGATGCAGTTAGCGCACTTCTTTCGTATTCACGTTAACCAAAAATTTCTTCATTAACTTAACATGCTTCTTTTCAAAACCAAGCTATTTGCCAACTTTCCAAAGCTACAATACTATAAATAAGCCACTTCACATAATAACGGAACAACAAAAGATAGATAGATGAAGGATGAGCAGCAAAACCAAAAAAAAAAAAAGAAATTGAATATAAAACTAAACTGTTGCGCTGGGTAATGGTGGTGTTGGTGGTATGATATTCGGTATTGCCACAACGCTTGCGCCAGCGCGACTGTATGTCAGCGGTGCAGCTTGAGTCCACTCGTTTGTCTCTGCATTGTATACTTCAACGGTTTTTAAATAATGATTGCCATCATAACCGCCAATTGCCATAAGGCGATCGCCTAGCAAAGCGCAGCCGATAGCATCGCGCCCGACGTTAAGCGAACAGATCTGCAAGTATAATATAGTAACATTTTTTACTTTACCAAAAGCAAATACTTCACCGCTTACCAAAGTCCAAGAATCTGTTGCGGGGTCGTAGCGCTCCACTGTATCGGTGCGGCAAACAGAGGGATTGCTGGCCGGACAATCGTGGCCACCCAGCGCGTATAGGAATCCATTTGCCACAGCAACCTGCGAAAAAAACGTTAAACTTTGCGCCAACATTCATTAAACCGTTTGCACTTACGCCTACGCCACCGCGTCGTTTATTCATTGGCGCACGCATGGTCCATTTATTGGTGTGTGGATCGTAACATTCGATCGAGCGATGGCAGACCGAACCATCTCGACCGCCTACCACATACAAGCGGCCACCAAGCACTGCCACGCCAGCGGTCGAACGCATCGAGGACATCGAAGCCACGTAACTCCAGGTACGTGTGCTTGGGTCCCAACTGTGGACACAAATACAAGATTATATTTAAACATATCTTTGCTAATATTTGCAGTACACACCGTTCAACAGTGGACAAATAGCTCCAGCCATCATGACCACCGACCGCATAGAGTGGACCTTCCAATACAGCAACGCCCAAACCATGACGGTGCGTGCCCATCGGATTCAGCGCTGTCCATACCATCGTATTCAAGTCTAAACTCTCTACTGTATTGAGCGTTTTTAAGCCATCGCGACCGCCCACTATAACTAACTTATCATCCATCACAGCAACACCGAATTGTAAACGACGTGCGGACATATTCTTCCACACCGACCACTTGTCCGCATACGGACAGTAGCTTTCAATACTTATAGCGCCCTGTAAAATTATTATTTTATTGTTAAATATTTCTTCGTCCTTGTCTATATTTTACGGGTACCTTGTGCGCATCCATGCCGCCCACCGCCAATAAACGACCTACTGTCGACTTGCGCGGTTTTGTGCGCTCCGAAGCTATTAAAGCTAACAAATTGCGTCGTTCGGGCAATAAATGCCACTTAAGCGCTTCCATCACAAGCTGTTGACATTCATTGGAACTGCACAGCGTTTCCACATGATCCATAATAAATGAGGGTTTCAGCAGCGGCAAGCGCACTAACGCCAGCAACTCGGGAATGTGTTTCTCGCGGCTGGCGGGATCGTGTTGCACCCACATCTTCAGACTGTGCACTACGTCCTCCTCGGTGGGCACATTGAGATCATCGCTAGAAATTAGCTTACCCAGCTGCTCGGAGTCGAGTTGCAGGAATTCTTGATTTTTGCAAACCTGTATACAAGTAAAAACAAATTTTTATTGAAGTTAAAATCGATAAGAAAATCAGCGTATTTTACCTGCATGAAATGCTGGCATGTGTAGGATTTGGCCAGACGTAGTAGCGTTGTGCAGCTTTGTCGTTCTGCAAAGAAGGCAAAGCCCAGGCAGTTTGATGGATGCAACTGGCGCGCAAGAAAGTTGCAACAGGCAGTGACTACAGAGTTCAACTGTAGCAGACAGGCAGTGGCTAGGAGCGTTTCTACAGTATCTTCGCGCAGTTCAATATAACCCGTATAACAGTATTGTATTAGTATTTGTAATGCATCGCCATGTACCTCGCCAAGCGTGACTTCCTGCTCTTTGGTCTCACGCAATGAACCGGTGAACATGGCGGCAAAGTAGGCGCTCGATGCTGACAATACTACACGATGGGCTGGCACTCTACGCAAATTTATGGAAATAAAGAAGGTATGGTTTAAATGTAAGTAAAGTTGATTGATGTTTAGATCGTATCCTTATATGGCAGCTATAAAAGCAGAACGCTTAAATCAAAAGTATTACAAGAAAAAAATTAAAATAATTGTATAAGGGCATTTTAGCTTCGGTGAAATCGAAGTTAAAGTATTTGCTTGTATAGAAATATTTCCATATTCATAGCACCTGACGAAATTCTTCTCAATATGTCAACAACCTAATTTATATATATATAATTATATAAASATATTTAGCCCTAATATACATATATTCATATAAACTTTTGAGTCCGCAGGCATTAATTAATTATTCATATAAACAAAGTCATCCAGGCATAACTTTCCAGGTGTTTGCAATTTTTTAATGAAGAAGTTGATTACACGGAAATTGCTAAACGTCAGCAATTTTGCTACTTGATATTCATATCTTCGCGTTAGTTTATATATTGTTTATTTATTTTATTATCACAGTACTATTCTATTTTCGTTATCGCACCATTATTTTATCAATTACCTTCCCCGTGACAAATTCCGTCTCCTCATCGCAATCTACACAGGGCACTGCAAGGTCAGCAAACACCTGTCCAACATAGGCATAACCTCCTGTGCTAACTGCCTGTCCTGCGACCTGGAACAGGAAGCACCAGCACACCTAATCCTGGATTGCACAGCAATCTGTGAAAAGAGGCTTAAGGCCCTGCATTCCATTTATATCAGCAGGGATCAAATCACCCCAGTCGCGTTCGGCAAACTCCTGGAACTATTCAGGCTTCAGGAACTCTGGGAAGACATGTGATATAGGAGAGGGCACAATACACCCTAGGTCGCGGTGCATTACCTCATAATACTATCTATCTATCTTTAATCAATGTGGGGGAGAAATTTCAGTTGTCATAGTGTTATTAATTTTTTGACGAGTTTAAACATTACGGTGTGTATTTGTTTGTATCATATGTGCTCACACCATATGGTATATATGTATTTATACAAGTTATCGGGTATAACAGTTTATTCAAAACAAAACAGAAACCAAATGCTTGTCCGTTTCCGTACGACACCTTCACCTTCATCCAACCAACGCACAGCTGTAGCGACATTACACACACATATATTTATAACATACATATGTATATGTATTTATAATTTACAAGAGTCGGCATCTATATAACACATAGAGTAACAGCTCGCTGTCATTTCACATGGAACGAGTGGTAAAATGTACAAAAGGGGAGCCAAGTATATAGCAATGCGGCTATGCAATTGTCTTACTAGATAGAACTTCTTTGTTTGGTGAGGCTTTTCTTACAGCGCAGCAGTTTGCAGACAAAGAACGAGGCGCACTACGATTAGCGCAAAAAAAAAACTGCACATACTTGCATATTTATATATATTTGAACGGGAAGATGATAGAGAAACAGCATTCGGCGGAAAGTGAATGTATACGGTTTACTGGCAATTTGTTTGTGACGCAGTATTCACTACTCAACTCTTTATGCACATAAACATTCCCCCTCGACTGTTGCTTTTGTTTGCTGCATGCAAAATGCGACCTGACCTTAGCTGTCTATTTCGCGTGGCACTTTTTATAGTACACAGGCTCTTATAATTGAAATGTCTTTGTGTCTGGCGCCGGAAATGCACTTCATTGACAGTGATCAGTAGTTTTATTTTAGAGATACATATGTAATTATGTATGTAAGTACACACTTACCGCTTGCCGTCGATTCCAGCAATTAATACTACATCGCAGAGCTGATGACTGTCCAAGTATAACTGCAAACGCTTTAATACACTTTCCGCATGATCACGACAGCGGAAATATTCGTCTTGACTTACGGCAGATGTAAGGCTGCCTAAACTGTAGTCCCGGGTTAGGGAATCACCATCAGCCAGTAGAGATATGGGCGCAGATGAGGACGTCATGGAATCACGACTAGGGCTATCTTTGTTAGTAGACATATTCGCGACGTTGTAGAGCAAACCAATTGTATATCCGTATGTTTGTTTGTAGTAAAATCGCAGTTTAGTTCTCAATTATAAGCTCTCTGCGTTTATTTACTAAATGCAAAAATTGTGCTTAAGAAGTTTTACGTTTCTCGATTTTATAGTTGCTTTACGGGTATTTTGCGTTTTTAATTTTATTATGTACTTTATTCCGAATTGCACTCCAGTAGGGTAAACAAAAAGAGCACCAACACTTTGAAACTGCAACAGCGGAATGGCAACGAATCGTTTATTGCCAATTAAATGCACTGAACAAAGCGTTGGAGTTAATCAACTAAATGGTCCACCTCTTTGTTGCGCGTATTTATCTTGGACGTGTGTTGCTTTTGAGGCAACTAAACCTATTGAAACTGCTACTCCTGCTTCCATAAATATGGACTAAAATCTTTTAATTGCATTTGTTGCAGGAAGAATGTATAAAGATAAAAATGGCGAACGAAAACCAGCACAAAATACGATCAGGTGCAAAAATAATGAATTCGACGTTGCCAAACCATTACAAGCGTAGAAGTATGAAATGTTTTTATAAATACAGAATTACTAAAAAAGTTGTAAATGAAGTGAATATTTTTAGATTATTTTATGATTTTTAATGTTCTGAAATTTACGTAAAATTAACAAAAGTTTGACAGAATAACGTTGATTAAAATTACGATTATTTTATTACAAAGATTGGGCAACTACTATTCTAGTAAAAAGCAACGAAAAAAAATTCTCTCAGGTGGTGCCATCATTGCGAAAAAGCGAAGCATTTGGCAACACAAGTACTTCCGAGTAAATACATATCCGGCGCAAATAGTCTTACAAAATATTTCTGATAAAAAAAGTTAAAACTACAAGATTATAAAACTAATTTAAAAATAAAAAAAACTACAAAATAAAAACTGCTGCCGAACCATATAATTCACTAAATAATTCAATTATTGTTAACATATTTAATAAAAAAAATCACGGTGTTTAAAAGTAAGTAATTATTACGTTTGTAATGGATTGGTATTTCTTCTAAATAAAAGATTTTGCTAAAATTCAATAATTCATCTTCATTTCTATCTATAGAAAAATGAATTAAATAACGTTAATTCGTAACACTATGGCATCTTGATTAACGTAACAAAATCCAGCAATAAAGTTCAGTGGCTGACAATTTACCAATCGCAGTGTTACCGGCTTGCATAAGTTCACTAAATCTTACAATATAACTAATTTTTATTTAAATTATTTAAGCATATATTGTTCTATATACAAGAAACACCATACGAAACTTATTCCAAACGGATATACGCATATTTATATAGATTAATTTTAGCTAAGCATATGCGCTGCTTCAGAATTTAATATGTGGATTTCATAAGCTGTGTTATGTTTCTTCAATAACTTCATCTGGCAGTACTACAAACGAATACGACGAACGGACGAGGCTGGCCAGAAGCGCACTGTGCTTATAAAATTTTTTGCAGCTAAAAATAAATAGAAATTCGAATTTTCCTTCCCAGAGTTAGTGCAATTAGAAAAGTGAGTGAAATCAATTTCAAAGTGATGAAATAATAACATTGAAGTGTTTTTCAATAACTATTACTACTCGAGTAATCGATCGATGCAACGCCGTCAATTGTCGTCGGTAGAAAAAAAGTCAAAGTCAAAAATGCTAGTAGGAGGCGTTGCGACCTCGTTTTCTAACGTGAGCCCAAATCCCATTGCCTCCACTTTAAATGTCGTATTTCCAAGAGCACACATAACCAATCAAACCAAGTAAATAATTTTTTTTTTTTGGTTAGCTGGATGTAGCCAACTATTGATACCATAGCAGCCAATCTTATTGACGCTAACAAAATCTCGTTAACACATCCACTGTCACAGGTATTGTCGTCGTCGTTGTCGCCACATTTCCACTTTCCATTTTAAGAAAAATATTTTACTTTGCGTAATATTTATGTAGTTTATTTTATGTATGAGTCGCATTGCTGTTGGCTGACTGGTCGATTTGTTGGTTGGTGTATTCAGCGCTTTTAAAAATAGAATTTTTTTTAATGATGATTTGACTTTCGACGCTGTTGTGTTTGTGTTTTTCGAGACATTTTTTCTCGTGCGCGTTTTGTGCATTTATCTATTAAATAGAGGCGCATTTTCACGGTAATACACGACGAGAAAATATATATTAAAGGAATAAAAAAGTGTGTCGGCGCCAAGGCGGCTGGGATAGTTGGGAGTTGTATCGTCTAAATAGTGGTAGTGGGTCGAAGTGGTGGTGTACTCGGACAAGTGTAAAATTGTTGGGCTGGAGCACAGAAAATGAATGAGAGTTAACGTTCAACTCGTATCATTGTGTTAGTATGTACATACGTGCGTATACAAGTCTCAATTGTGATCAGCTGGCTATGCGTTCGTGGAAGAAAGGTGCAGGTGTGAGGCGAGTTTCGTAAAATGTGGGTGGTGCTGGCCCCGAAGCACTTTTACGACAAGGAGGCGACGACGAGGTCAACGGAGTAATCGCTGTTGTTGACGACGATTGGCGAAATGCTGCAAATGTTGTTGTCGTATGCGTCAACGTCGTCGTTGATACTTTGATTGCTCCCCACTGCGCTGCTATCGTTGCGGTTGTCATTGACGTTTACTCTGCTTATAGTTCTACATATTCTTATTCTGCGGGCTTGGGGTATGCGAACATGCCGACCATGACTTTGTTGTTGAGTGAAAATAAATGGTGTAAACTAAAATTTAAATTAACAGAGTGTTTTATGATATGAACTGATAAAACTGACTATGAAAAGAGTTTATGCACGTGAACACCGTAGTATTTCTTAAATATATAGTTAGCGCCAATTACCGCATCAACGGTGGCAGTGTCAGTCACAGTATGCTTTTGTTTTTTTTTTTTCACAATTACTATAATATGAGAGCAACCCTGATTTCTACCACTTATCGATTACTACTTGGCACTCGTCCCTAAGCCAAATTGCTGAGATCAAAAACATGAAATTAGACAATGGGGTTAGGACGGCACTAAGTCAATCAACTACTTGCTCTCTTATATTTCCGCGTATCTATGAAAAAAAAAGGTGATCCACTAATTACCTACTTTGTATTTCTTTTCGAATAGTTGAACGTTGGTAAAGCGAAAGAGAAAAATACAAACAATAATACCGCAGCAGCTAACTTTTTAACTTATCTGTGACATTGTAATTGAGATAGCTTTTGTTTAGCTAGTACCAATTATGTAAGGTAATGGATGCGCGCATTGAACTGATGCCAATAATCTGGACAACAAGTGTACCAACCACTTAGGTAAGTGTCTGCGGATTATCTAATTAAAAAATTAACTTATTGTATTTTTTGTATATTTTACAGTCGATCAGCATTAATGATTCAATATTTTCTAAAACCAAATTAACGTAAACAATCACAAAACCGCAAATAGTTTTACAATAATAGAACAAACGCTAAGAACAACGTAGCAATAAAAACGAGCAACACAGTGTCGCAGCCTTCTTTATACATCTACTAATATGCCTGTGATTTCGCCACGCAGATCATCGACATCGAACAGTGGCAGTCTATACGGCACCTCGTCGTCCGGAACTGGCAGTACAGGCACTAGTACCGCCAGTGCATATAGCAGTGCATCGTCGTATTTGAATCGTGCGAATAGCTTGTCGAAAGCCACAACGCCAAGCAGTTCATTGTGGTCGTCATCGTCGTCAGGAGCATCGAAATATACACCCAACTATTATAGCTCTTATTTGGGTTCGAATTCGTCATCGTATTCGCCACGTACAGCATCGCAACGTAACTCTTTGTCGTCTTTGTACCTGAGCGGCGGCTCCTCTGGATTAGGAACCTATCGCAGTAGTTCATCTTATTTGTCATCCGGCAGCAATGATCCAATTACATCCAGTAGATATGGAGTAAGTAGACAAAAAAAACAAACAACAAGTACTACATAAAAGCACACAACATGTGTGTTATTCAAATGCTTTTGCTAAACCATATAAATACATACATGCATTGAGTGTGTATATAGTGCTTAGGGCATTTTTGGACATTTGTGTAATGTCCAATTTAGTAGTATTATTAGCTAAACAAAAGCAATAGTGTAGATGTGAGTGTTATCTGCTGAATTACATTATACGCATGTAACATATGCATACATGTACATATATTCATATGTAAACATTGCGTGAACCTTTCACCAATTACTCATTTGAAGCACACCCACTCGTGCACAAATACACACATCTATACATGCGCACAAACCCTTGGGACTGTCGTGTAGTATTTACATTGGGTTGTTATATAGGGTCTACTTACAACTTTAAGCTGGACACTTGTTTTGTGTTTTTAGAGTAGTTAGTTAACAAGTCAAGTGCAAGTTGTGACTTTTAATTGCAATGTACAAATTTTGATAAAAATTATATATACCATTTTTCCTGCTAACCAAGATATATATTATATGAATTATGTTTAGCACGCATAAAAGTTTATTGTTAACTGTGTGTGTGTGACAATCATAATCACATCTTATCTATGTTAGATTTAAATTGTAAAATTTCTATTAGTTTGCCGAGCGCTTTATGTGCTTAATAGTATGGTCATTCATACAATTTAGTTGTTAAGTTCATAATTGTTCACATTCCAAGTCACACGTTTTTTTATTGTACCTGAACGCTTAAGCGGAACGTTTAGATTAGGAAACAAAACGACAAAGTGTACTGTGAAATTAAATAATATAATAAAGTTAATTAATTGTGTAGTATTATTATAGTGAAAATGTTTAATTGTAATTTAATTTCGCCGTAGCGTTTATTACTAGTGGAATTGTTTTATACTTTAATTCTAATGAACTTTACGTGCCCTTAAATGATAAAAACTTAAGTGAACAATCATCGGTATGTGTAGGCGGTGATGTATAAAGTTCAAATAATTACATAAACCACATAATCTTTAGTCCCAACACCTCAAAAACCTTAACTTAGCTCGCACACACTTCCTTATGGCCAATACTATTAAATATGGTTCATAATAAAACGACAAAAATTATTGCGATTTATAAACTACTGATTAGCGACGGTCTCAAAAAGTTTAATGCACTATTTCGCTATGTATATGCGGTTTATAAAGCGAAAAATTTAATTCTACATAAGGTTAATCAATTATATACTCCCCTAGCTATTAACGCTCATATGGTGATAATTGGTACGCTCCTTCTAACCTTTCGTTAAATAAACAAAATCATGCATATGTACATAGATACATACATATGTTCCCTGCCAAAAAGGCAAATTGGCGACATATGCTTATGTGGCCACAAATTACCTGCGAAGATACGCACATACATACATGTAGATATAATATATAAGTAATCACACCTTAGCTTTTGCTTTAACTATGTACAAAAGCAACACCTGTACACACATACATATGTCTGTTTGTACATACGTGACTCATATTTTTCTTTTCTGTATTTATGTTATATTTATTCGTTTGTTTTTGTCACAACAACCAATGCACATGTGAACGTGTAAAAACAAAATTATAACGACAACAACAACAACAACAACACCGCTATCAAATCAACCATCACAACAACAATCAACAACAATATCTGTCCAATTGCCATGGTCATTGTCATACTCATATTTCTATTTGCATCATAAATCACTTATCTAATGGGGCAAACCGTTACAAATTCAATGCATCTGTAAATGTTGAACATAAACAAAATTGGTAAAAACTCCACAAAAATTAAAAAAATTAAAACGAAAACTCGGCAAAAAACATACACGCGCCTCAGTTACCTAAATCACCCAAGACATCATCCGATACATTGCGCAAGCGTAAGGACAGAGATACGAACAACAGCAATGACAGCAGCGATGTGAACGGTGGTGGCGCTAAGAAGCCGCCTTCAGGTTCGGATGGGGGCAACAAGCGCTTGTCAGGCTCATATTCATCCTCATCCCTAGCACGTTTAGTAGCGACATCTGGTCTGGAAATCTATGAAAAATACAGTCCCGCTAATTATAAACCCAATTGTGAACTTCCACGTTCCAGCTCAGCGTTAACTGAGGCTGAGGTAGACGCAGCTTCATCCACCATCAGCGGTATTGGCGGCACAACAACAACGACAACGAACAATGACGAGTTACGCAACGAGACTACGACAAACATAACATTGGACCGACCACGCAGTCGCTATAGTCGCTTGTATAGCGCCGGTGATGAGTCTTCTAGCTATAGCAATAGCAAATATAGTGACAGTAGCAATAAAAATGATAATGACATAACCAGCACTACAGCAACGAAGCCGCACCGTTCCAGTTACCGCGAACGTGCGGCAGTCGCCGCCGCAGCGTCAGCAAAACAACAGGCCAACGCTCTCGCACCCTCCACATCGGCCTCATCTGTGCTGAGTCATAGCAGTAGCAGCGGCGATGTGCCGACCGCAACATTTACTTTGCGCAGCAGTCGCACACCCAGAACAACAGTGACAAAGGCAGAGGAAGGCGTAACACTCAACAATGGCGACAAGACCGGCAAGGGTGACTGCATCAGCCGACAAGGCAGCAAAACGAATCTAAACAGTTACACAAATGACCTTGAAAACAACTTGAGGGAGCTAAAGTTGTCCAACTCCGGAAGCGGCAGCGGCCTATACAAGGATAGCAGTAGCGGCAGCATAACCACCTTCACGATGCCGTTGCATTCGAAGAAATCGCTCAGCACCAGCAATAGCAGCGGTCATCTCAGCGCTTTGACTACCTCAAACAACGACAACGATAGCGAACTGAAGCGCAATCACAGCGCCAACAATTTGGATGTGGTCGATCATAGCGCCCCAACCTACGAACTTAAATCGAATAGTGCGGCAGCTGGCGGCGCTGAGGTGTATGCCAGTGCAACGCTCCAAATGGTGGACACACCGATCACGGCGAAGAAGGTAAATCGCAGGCGACAAATGCCACGCGCCGCATGTGCGCTGTCGCTTCTAAGATGTCTGTGCTTTTGCGTTGAACGCCTTTATTCCTCACATTATCCGCTGCGTTGCACACTAACTTTGTCTTGTTCAGCTTGTGCTGCTCCTGCTAAGGACAGCGCGCACTTTGCTAATGCATGTGCCTACTACTAACCACAATGTTTGGCCAAACTGAATACTTGTTTAATCGGTTATATTTAACTGTTTGTGATTGGCGGGAAGAACTGCAGTCTACTTGATATTTTTGCTTCTAGTTTAAGATATTTAAGGTTTTTTTTTCGAATAGCAAGCACTGCGATTATAGTACACATTATCCCGTTAGGAAATGCATGCGCTCCACCACCACGTGACATCCACGCACAATCAGTTCAACGGACATTGACGCTTGTCAATGGTTCGCTATTTGCTGCAGTGTGTTTCGAAGGACTTAAAAAAACTTGTTATCTCTGAGGTCGATACATTTTTTAGAAAGACGCAGTATCAAGTTTAATATTGAACTGCAAAATTGGGCTTTGCGGGAGATTATTAAAAAATATTAATTTTTTGAATATGAGATATTTTTTTCCTTAAAAAATATTTTAAAATTTCTTGAAATAATTTTTTGTATCAACCATTACGTTGGAATTTTAAGCATTGCTTTTGTTTCAATCAAAATGGACTTACGTACCATATACTAACATTAAAAAATCATAAAAATCATTTAACGTTCATGTTGTCATAAAATTGTCATATTTTCTATACAAACAAATAAAATGCTAGTACTCAAAATTTTTTAAAATTAATTTGTGTTATAAAGAAATTTGGAATCACTTACATCTTGCATAGAACTTTAGTAGTTAAAATATCTAGGTTACGAGACCTTCAAACGTTTTTCCGCTGTCACAGAATTGTCAGGAGGACAGTCATGTCGACCAAAAATGGTTGCAATATTCTGTTCCGTGTTGCTTAATCTATGACTATAATATTTGTTGATATATGTAGCATATTTTATGCTATACAATTCGAATTTGCCCAAAAAAAATTTTTTTTTTTTCAATTATTTTTTAAAATTCAATATTCTTCGCGAAAAGATAGATAGATAGATAGATAGATAACTGAGGAATGCACTGCGACCATAGATCTATTGTGCCCTCTCCTAACTCACAGGGACTCGCTTAGCCCCAGCATATTGACGAAGTTCAGTATTTTGCTCTGTGCTAGCGAGACGATGTGATCCCTATCCGGAAACATGGCTCCAAGGGCCTTCGACCTTCGTCTACAGACTGCAATGCAATCGATTAGCAGGTGCTCCGGGGTTTCAGGGTCCCTGTCGCAAAACCGACAGTTGGCGCAAGATGATAGGCCCATGTTGGTTAAGTGCCTTTTCAGCTTGCATTGGCCGGTATAGAAATGCAACCAGGATCCTGAGTTTGTTTCTTGGGAGGTTGATTAACGATTTAAATCTTTTTTCGTTATACCCCCCAACTAGCAGCTTGGCATGACGCATACCGTGCGCTCGCTGCCAATACCTTTCCCTGCACTCTCTTTCTTCCTTGCGGAGCAGCTCCTTCCTTCACAGTGTGGGGACCCACCGCAATGAATGGTTCGGGCCCAACCATACTGGTGGAGGCTGCGGAGCGGGCTAGCTCGTCAGCCAGTTCGTTGCCGGCTATGCCCCTGTGGCCGGGCACCCAAATTAGGTGCACCCGGTTCTTTGTAGCTAAGTTGTTCAATCGTTCTCTGCACTCCTGCATCAAAAGCGATTTGATCTCGTAGAAAGAGATCGCTTTCAGTGCCGCTTGACTATCGCTGAGTATCGCTATGCGCTCGTTGCGATAGTTGCGGTGGAGGTTTATCTCTGTACACCGGCTTATAGCCAGGACTTCAGCAAAAAGAAATTCTTTATCATAATTAACTCAGTTTTTAGTCTTAAATTTATTTATCGATTGAGCAGCTCTGTTTATTTTTTAGTAAAACATATTATTGATTGGAAAATAAACATATGAGCATACAGGGTTGCAAATAATGCATTCAAAATAATTGAATTAATATTTGAATTTTTTTTATTTTGTTTTCCTAAATTTTTAAATCTTTTATCCCAAATACCGATTTGAAAAAAAGTTTTTATCCCAAATGTTAAAAAATTAAAGTAAAAATAAAAAAAAAAATATTTCTAATTAGCGGATTGAAAAAAATTTAATGTCACAAATCATTGATTGAAAACTAAAAAACAGTGTTAACCCAAAATTCGGATAAAAAAAAAAAAAAATAAATAAATAAAATAAAATAATAATCCGAAATATCAGGTTGAAAAAGAAATGGAATCCCAAGTGCCGCTTTGAAAAAAATTTTAGTCCAAAATTTGTTACTTTGTCTACTGTACAACAAAAACAACAATTTAACATTATAGACAACAATTTTTAATTCAAATTTATAGCCTCGCCTCCACACAGCGATACATAGTATGTAGTTAATCTTAAAATATTAGAGGTTTTAGTGCGGAATGTACATACATATGCATAGATATTGTAGATAGATACATATATATATAGTATAGTGTATAGTTTATCTGAATGTAACCAAATCTCTAAACAAATTAGCCGACACTGCAACGCCCACATCATGTCGAAGTACGTTGATAGCCATGTATGTATGTACCTATACATGTGTAAATAAGTGTATAAATAAAGTTGAATGTTCGGTAAAGGCAACGCGCCACAAGCAATGAACGGTAGCATCATCGACAGCGTCATCATGCCATTCTCAGTATTATGATCAACCTTTACCCACCTTCGAACAAACTAAATACAATACCAATACATACAAACATACAGTCATATCCATATACATACATACATACGCATTACTAACCAAAGGCATCGTCATGTAACTTGTTTGTGTTTCCTCTTCTGTGTATTTTCTAGATGAATATTCGCAGGCCTTGTTGCTGTCACTGAATAGAACGCCTATGTATTTTTGAACTCCTCTCCTCACCCCTCACAAAAAAAAAATAGACAAACAAAAGAAAAAGCGAAACAAAAACAAAACCAAAAATAATTACTAACCAATAATCAAGAGCAGCAACAAAAATAATATAAAATAATAAAAAATAAAAACCAATAGAAAAATATATACAAAAACAAGATGTGTGCAACAACGCGTTTAACGCGAAAATTTCGGCAAGAATTCTCAGTGAAAGCAAAAGAAATGATGATATTTCGAAATAATTAGCAGTGTGCGCAAAAACGCGACGAACAGCGACGAAAAATAATAGATTGAACGAAAGGCTGACGAGCAAACAAAAAAAAAAAAAAAGGAAAAAATAAACTAAAAATTATAAGAGAAACAAAAAGNAAAAAAAAAAAAAAAGGAAAAAATAAACTAAAAATTATAAGAGAAACAAAAAGTGACAAAACACTTTAAAAATAAGGCAAATTGCCAAAAAACACAAAAAAAAAATCAAGAAAATAAACTCAAAAACCTACAACCGACAAAGAAAACTAACGAGGCTTATAATTATTGAATACCTTCCACATTCTACAGCGGCTGTATGCCATAGCGCCTAAGGCAGCATAAAATAAAACATATTTGCAGATATACGCAATAAAATACATACAAACATATGTACATAAATCAAGCCGACAAAGTGATAAAAGTGTAAATAGCAAGAAGCCAATAAAAAATATACAAAAAAACAGAAGTGTAACGGCGCAGAAAGAAACATTTGAAACACCGAATATTCGTAAAGTATAATGATAGACATTAATAAGGGCCGCAATAGTTTTGAAAAATTTCCAACATTACAAGAAAAATGTGATAACACCGTTATATTAGCGCAGCGTCGACAACATCAGCCGACCAATACCAGCTTGAATAACTATACGAGCGTACACAAGCCAAAAACAGCAACAAGAAGTGCAACAGCAACCGTCTTTACAAGCACAACAAAAACGCGCTCACATACAACAACAAATCCAATAAGTGTCAACGGCAGAGCGGAAACAAAATTGCACAACGGCGTTGGTAGGCGTGCTGCATCGGTGGGCAGCACGCGCAACACCAAAATCAGCAACAACGCCAGAAGCAACAATAACCATAACAATAACAACAACAACAACAGTAAGCCGCACGGCAGCGACGACACGAATCCGGTGCGCGCCGCCAATAAGCCATTCTTTCTCGTACCGCAATTTCAAGATCAAAACTTTCTGAAGGAGGAATGTGAATTGGCGCATGCGCAAGTGGCACCGAAGCAACAACAACAACCACAACAACAACAACAACAAGTTGCCACAGCCAATGGTGACGGTAGTAAAATTAGTGCAAACAACACCAACAACAATAAAACAAGAGCTAACCAAGAAGCGAGTGGCAACTACAGGCGCAACAGCGGCGACTCAAGCAAAAGCAATAACAATACCAGCAACAGCAACAGCAACAATCACAGCCAAAAAACCATCAACAACGCGTACGCCATCATTAACAGCATACACGCGAGCATTAGTAGTAGGCGAACACCAACAGCAACAGCAACAGCAACAACAGCGCCATCAACAGTGGCGGCGGTAACAGCGAATGGTGTGCGACGCAGCGGCGGCGGTAGCGCCAACGCCAGCGTCAATATCAATCAACATCATCACCATCATCACGTCAGTACAACAGCGTCAGCTGTGGCGACGACGAGTACAAACGGCAGCGCTGCCAACGCCGCCAGCGTCTCGGCGAAGAACGCCACAACCGATACCACCGTCCACAAAGTCGACATTGTCTTCAATAATCGCGCGCAAACGCAAACCAGTTGTGGTGGGCGTTTCTTGACGTCGTCAAAAAGTGCGAAATCGATTCAGACACATAATACATACAACGTGACGCGTCCGCTCAGCGTCATCACAACAACCACGGGCGCGCCAACAACGAGCACCACTGCAACGTTTAGCGGCGGTGTCAACGCGGCAGCGGCAGCAACAGCGACTAAGTTGAGCAACGGCCAAAGCAAATTGGTGCGTCCGCTAGTTCATCGCACCATACCATCGACTGCGGTGGCGGCAGCGAATGCGGCCGTTGCGCGCGACAACGTGAACGCCTACTCCAACAAACTATTCAACATCTACGGCAACAATAGCAATCGTCTTAGCAATAATAATAACAACAATAATATTAACAATAACGGTGTGAATACTGTGTGTAATATCAACAATAGCAGCAGCAGTAGCAACAACAATATCACAAGCAATAACACCAACGGCGGCAGTGGCGCGAACGGTATGCAACATACGCTCGATCACGACGATATCAAGTACATCGATAGTGATGACGCGCCTACAACGGCAGCGATAGCGGCGGCGCATGCCAGCGCCACAACGGTCAGCACATCGTCGCGTGGCGGCGCGCAGTTCGAGCGGAAAACGCAGTTGCGCTGTGAGCAGCTCTGTTGTCCGCATACCAATTGCGCGACGTCTACAACGACAACGCTGACAGGTGCTGCTGCTGGCGGTGGAGGCAGTGGCGTTGGCAGCGCGTCGCTCAAAACACGCATGCGTCCCAAATCGACGATCATCTGTTCCACCAGCAATCTCGTCTTCGAGAAGATCAACAATTATAAGTATGCCAACGGTAGCGCCGGTGGCGGTAGCAGCGCGGCTAAATTTGCCGCTGAAGCAGCGGCTGCGCGCCGCAACGAACTGCGGCATAGCATTGATTCGAATAGCATAAGAGCGTCCATTGAGAAGTTCGATAGCTTCAGCGAGCAGAAGCGTGGCGCGCAGGTGACGCTACGTTCGCACGGCGGCGGCAGCGGTAGTACAAACAATTTGCAACATCATCGCCATAGTGGCAGTGAATTTGATCACGCCACCGGTAGCAACAGTCTCTTGCGGCTGGCGCAAAGCGGTGGCGGCTCTTTGACGCGCGCACCCTACCGCACGGTGTCGCCCGCGCCGGCTACCGCCTGCAAAGTTACTGCCACAATGCATGCGCCGACCTTGACGACCGGTTCGACTGGTGCGTCGGCGTCGTGCATACGCAGCGGCGCATGCAGTACAAATAGTTTGCCAACGAAAAGTCTTGGCAGCGTTTTGGCTGCCACAACCAATACAACTACCGTTACCGCCATCAATCGTCATCAGGACGCAACAGCATTGCGTGCTACTGAGCGTGCTTCACCCAGCGCGCTGCTGCATAAAGATGCGGCGTCAACACCGTCATCGTCCTCATCATCGCCACTGCTAAAGCAAGCCGAAATGAAATTGCCGAATGGCGATGTAAAGAAGTGCGCGAACGCGGAAACGAACGGCGTTTGTGACGGCGCAGCCGCGGATGTTGAAACTGTAAGTTGCACTCACCAAACACTTAGCGAAAAACAAATGTACAAAATGCTACAATTTATCAGTCACCACAAAAAAAAAAAATAAAAATAAAAACACGTTCACCAGCATTTAATCACTCCCACCACACCAAAAACCTACACAATTAGCACCGTCAATTTCACTAAATTGCTCATGCCTCACCTAAGAATCGACGTGAATTCTCATCAATTTGGCAATTCTTCTGTTCCTCTCAGTTTATCTGTCTCTCAGTTAGCTATCTTAAGGGTTTCTATGTTTTGTTTTTTCACGTGACGCCGTCGAATTTTTGTTCGAATATCAGTTTGCACTCATCATCAACCAGCTTGGAGTTTAGCTGAGTGAAAGGAATTAACAGCTTTTTTTTATTTTACGTTTTAATGCTTTTATTACATAACACATTTTTTTTTAATATATGTACTGTACGCACGTTGCAATAATCACGCTGCCATCTTATAACCGAACCTAATTTTATTTTGATTTTCAACTAACTTAAATCTATTGGCTTTAACAGTATTTTATATCTGAATTCTTAGACCAATTTATTTATTATTTTTTTTTTTTAATATTTTTTTGTAAGTCGCAATCTTTTCTTCAATTTTATAATTATTTTGCTCAAACGCAGTTCCCAGCAACCATTAACTACTTATTAACCCCCAAAAATTTAAAAAAAAAAACTCCTTCCTTGTGCCCGACAAAAATCTTTCTATTTTACCAAAGTTTTTTTGTTGTTTTTAAGCGTTTTGCTTTTTTCACAATACTTTTACTAAAGCAACTCTTTTGAAGCTTCTATAAAAAATAATAATATTTTTTTTTTTCCTTCCTGCGCCGACTCACAGATCCGCAGCACAGCACTACGGAGTATCCCTCCTGCACCGCCATCGCCGACCGCATCACGTTACCGGGATCGTGATAGCCGTTTAACGTCGTCATCGGTGCTCTCTTCATCGCTGTCTAATAACATAGACGATGCAAGCAAATCGAAGGATGAGAACGCAGAAGGTATGTGTGTGTCTTTCGTATAGTAAAAATCTAAAGTTTGAAAGCCAAACGATGAAGTTATTTGTGGCTAGTCAAATAGGGTTTTAGTAATGAATGCGGTTTTAGGAGGAAGAATAAACCCTAACCTAAAATAACCCATTCTTCAGTTATCTGATTATTCTTAAATGCAACAATAAATAGTTAGCGAAAGCTTTCGAAACTTTTTTTTTTTTAATTCTGTCAGATTCAAAAACTTAACAAAACAAATTATATTACAAGAGCTGAAAACAGGTAATGATCGACGGACTAGTAATAATTGGGATTTTGACATTTTGGACGGCCAAAAGTCACGGAAATATTGCTTGCTGTTTCCAAGAAATTTTTTTCCTCGACTCTGAAAACATTGTCTCGAGAAAAACGCGTTTAAAGTTTTGAAAATCGTATACATTAAGTTAAAAAATAATAACATCATATATCTCCTATACTATTTGCTGGTTCAACTTCCAAATTTCGGAGAATATGTTCAAAAATATGTATATTCAAAAATCGTTTTTTTTGAAATTTACAAGGGCATATAACTTCTTAGGAAAATATGTTCCATTTATATAAAAAAAAATTAATGATTTTGAAGTTTTTCAAACTTAACCTAAAAAAAAATATATTTTTTTTTAATTTCCGGATTTTTGGATTTCTGAAGTGCATATAACTCTTTAGAAAAATATATTCCATAGATATATATATAAAGGTTAAAGATTTTGAATTTTTTTTAAACTTAACCTCAAAAAAAATTTTTTTTCCGAAATTAGAATTTGTTGTAGCTATGAATTTTATTACATGTGTTTGTAACATTTCTGAATAAAAATAAAATTTTGAAACACCTCTTTTTCAAAGCTTCTTTAATTTTCCCATAATCACTTTGTGAACACCCCTAGCCTGCTATAAAAATATTGAAATTATTTGAATTTTGTATTTTCCTTTTCTTTGTGCTTGTCATACACTTAAAACAATCCGAAATGTTGGCAGTCATTAAATTTGTCGGATAGTTTGTCAAAATATATCACTTTTGTCGCGTCATTAGTACAAATTCTTGTTTACCTCTGAATGTTATTTCGGGCCGAACCTGGTGTGCTGTTTATCTGTTTAAAATTTCAACTTTCTTGCGTTTAATTTACAGAAAACAATAATTTTTTAACAGAAAACAATTTTTCCAAAAAGCATGGAGTTAATTAAATTTTCTTGCACATCTTCCAAACAGGTCTATGTGGGCTAAGAAATATCGGAAATACTTGTTTTATGAACTCGGTCATTCAGTGCCTGAGTCACACGAGCGAATTGACAAAATTCTTGCGTACACACAATGGCATACGCTCAACATCGTCCAAGGATCAACAAATCCTACAAGGTGAGTGCAAACTGTAGTTAGTCGCAGATGGCGAAAGAGAGATGGAATAGAGAGAATGAAAGTTTTAACTGTTCTTCATTTAACGCCACAGAGTTTGCCAAGTTGATACGCGAGATGTGGACAAGCAATGTACACAGCGTCACGCCGATGGACCTGAAGCGCGCCTTTTCCTCCAAACATCGCATGTATAGTGACTACAACCAACAGGATGCACAAGAGTTTCTGCGCTTCTTCCTCGATTCGCTGCACAGTGCACTAAATACGGGCGTGAAGGGGGAACACTTGAAAATCGACGATAACCTTAGGTGAGTACGCAGAGGATTTTGAATTCCTGTATAATAATATATACTTCCGCCGGTTTAGCGACAATAAAAAAGCCGATTTAACGTGGGAATGGTACGCACGACACGAGAACTCACTCATACGCGACCTCTTCGTCGGCCAATTGAAGAGCACACTACGTTGTACCACTTGTGGCAATACGAGCGTCACATTCGATCCGTTTTGGGATTTGAGCGTCTCGTTGCCATCGTCGTCACGCTGCAAACTAGAATCTTGTCTCGATCTATTCATACGCGAAGAGGTGTTGGATGGTGATGAGATGCCGACCTGTGCGAAATGTCGCCAAAGGAGAAGGTGCACGAAAAGCTTCACCATACAACGATTTCCCAAATATTTGGTTATACGTAAGTTTTGATTTTGTTGAATAATCACTTTTTGTTTCAAAAATAATTTATATAATTTTTGGTAACAGATTTGAAGCGTTTCTCGGAGACTCGTTGGAGCAAGTTGTCGAACATTGTCGAATTTCCGACTGGTGAGCGCGAATTGAATATGGGTCCATACGGTTCGAACCCTGGCACGAGCATATATTATTCATTGTATGCGATTTCGAATCATATGGGTGAGTGGAGAATTGATGTTTTTTTGAGATAATTTTATAACTTTATCTATACTGTCGTGTTGTTCTTCTTTGGAAAATATAATTTTGTGAAATTCTCTCATTTTTTTGCAATTTTGTTTTGGATTGCAAAATCAACTTAAAATATAAAATTTGAAAACATCCTTTTATATCAGTCATTGATTTCAATGTTTGTCTTCATATGAATACCGAAATTCGGAATTAATTTTAAACTTTTCCGGATCATTTGATATTTTTAAATCAATTTAAGGAATAATTTATTTGGAATTATATTAATAAATTCTTGAACAATAAGCCAGTCATATTTTTTGTCAAAGGGAAAGAGAGAGAGAGAGAGTGAGAGGGGAGAGCTTTCGGTATTAGTTTAAAAATTTCCTGAATCATCAAAAATTCTATTTTTATTGTATCAATTTAAATAATATCTATTTGTGTTTATATTATAAAACTTATTTATTCTTAAATAACAAACTAGAATTCTTTGTTGTAAAGAGAGAGAGAGAGAGAGAGAGAGAGAGAGAGAGATTTTTATGTCAATATGATTTATAGTACACGTTGCCGAAAATTGAAAAGTATATAGTTCCCATATTTTTTAAGCATCGCTTTCATTATCGCGCTCGGGATCCCGATATGGTCCCGAAATGTTTCCGATCTGGTCCCGAAATTTAATGCCGAAACATCACTTTGTAAATTTTCGGGTTCCCTTTTTTTTAATCCCGAGCTGGTCCCGAAATTTCAGAATATGAAAAGAAAATGTCAAAGGTATAAATATTCCAGATCTGGAAATAATCCCAAGCTAGTTCTGAATTTTTAGGACATGAAAAAATGTCAAAACCACTTTATGTTTTTGGAGTTGTTGTTGTTGCAACTGTTATTAAGTACTCACTGGGACCTTAGGGAAAGAGTTGTCTTATGTCGTCGGTATATTTGAGGAGGGACCTCTTGGTGCTTCTAGGAGGCGGTGCCGCTTCAAGCAGGTGACTACAGGGATGCTTTCTACGAAACACCCTGTTGTAGTTAATAGTTTTTGGAGTGACTATACTCCCTAGGCATAAATTTCAACTCTATATTATGTTGGAAAATGTAGTATATCAGTATAGTATTATTATGTAAATTAATAACGGTTTAATAAAAATTCAAAACTCTCTTGCCTACAGGTTCCACAGCTGGTGGTCATTATGTGGCGTTGTGTAAACATCCGGTCTCGAAAAAATGGCATGAATTCAACGATAATGTGTATGTATTTTCAAAAATTTCGAAATTTTTGAAATATTTAAAAATAATCCTTTATTTACAGTGTCAGCGACACGCTCTCCGAAAATAATCTAGTTTCATCCAGTGCCTATATACTGTTCTATGAGCGAGCGTAAGAACTAACTCACGCGTGTAAAGAAATTAAATGCAAACATACTCACATTAACACGCT